TGAGAAACACTGTTTGGGATAAAATATCATAAGAGAGATGGTAGTGTGATCTCAGGCCTTGGTAGTGAAGATGGAGAGAAGTGAATGTAATTGACCCAGATTTTTGAAGACCAGTAGTTTTTAGCCATAATGTAGATGGGAACGATGTTGAGGGAAGGGAGGGATGGAAGAAATTTGTGGGAGTTTGGCACCTCAAATGAATGAATGGATGTAACCGACAATTAAAATATAAAGAAGCTAGGTAGGAGTGCTAGATCATGGTGGGAAATCCTAAATTCCATTTTGCTAATACTGAAGTCTTAATAAGCTGGGTGTATTGGTGCATGCACACCTGTAATCTCAGCAACCCAGGAGCTGAGGTAGGAGGATCACAAGTTAGAGGCCAGCCTCAGTGACTCAGCAAGACCCTGTCTCAAAATGAAAAACAACAAGGGCTGGGAGGTTCCTGGGTGGGATTCAATCCCCAGTACTTAAGAAAAAAAATTAAATGAAATACTTCTAAAATTCCAGTACAGCACCTAGTAGACAGTAGGTTTTCAGTAAATGACAGCTATTGTTATTGTTACCCTCATTCCCTTTCTTCACACTGTACCTTGCCATTACTGTACCTTGTCAAAGGTAACCTCACAACTCCATTACTCAGCAACCACATTCCAGGGCTAGGAATTAGTTCTTTGGGTGATTGAAGAGATCCAGGAATGAACAAGGAAACTTCCTATTTATAGTTTCAGCTCATGGGTTGACTAGGTGGAGAAGGAAGAGAGGGTGGGAAAAGGGGGTGAGGTTCTAATTCATAGAAGTCCTTGCATGATTCCAGATAACCTCAGAACTATGTGAAACAGATGGAATTTCTCCATTTTGTAGATGAGATAAATAACTTGCCCACTGGCTTATAGAAACTCCAGTGAAAATTCAATTCTAACTTTCTTCAGACCCCATTGTATTTGTGCTTTCTATAGTATGAAATGGTTCCTTTACTCCTAAACAATAGACTAGTTACTTTTTTGTATAATATCCTAACTATGTTGCAACAGTATCTTAAATGTGTGCCAATTTCCAGACTAGCAATTTTTAAAATTTATTTGTTTTATTTTTTTGTAGTACTGAAAGTTGAGCATAGGGCCTTGCGCAGACTAGGTAAGCACTCTACCATTGAGCCATCCCTGGCTAGATTAGTGGCTTTTACATGTTGTGATCCTAATCCATAGTAAGAACAACTTTTTACAAAGCCAGCCAGAATAAACATGCATATGATAGATAATTATTTCTAATAAACAATACTTATTGAGAATCACTACATTATCAAAATTCTCAATAAATTCATTCTGATATTCTTTTGTTCATCTGCTAAAATAAACATTCACCAGGACCCACAGAATGATTTCACAATTCCAACAAACTGGCCAAGAACCCTGATGGTAAGGGAAAGTGGGAGAGATGGATGTCTGCATAGCCATCTTCATGGGAGTAGCATGATTGATGAAAGAATTTGTAAAATGATCAGGCTGTTCTCTGTTCTCTGCCCACATATGGCTGTGTTCACTTGGATTTGAGTTAGATTTTTTTTTTGGGGGGGGGGTACTGAGGATTGAACTCAAGGGGCACTCAGCCACTGAGTCACATCCCCAGCCTTATTTTGTGTTTTATTTAGAGACAGGATCTCACCGAGTTGCTTAATGCCTCACTTTTGCTGAGGCTAGCTTTGAACTCTCTATCCTCCTACCTTAACATCCCAAGCCCGCAGGTATTACAGGTGCGTGACACTGTACTTGGCTTGACCTAAATCTTGGAGGCCCTTCCCTACCTTCATAGGCTAGAATGCAATTATAGAAAGCCCTTGGTAAATGGTAGCCCCATGGGACTTTGAAATGATGAGGAGGAGGAAGAGGAGGGAGAGGAGGAGGATTCCTGTCTAAACCCTGAAAGAATTTAGAAAAAAGGAGAAAAGACTCCATCATGGGCACAGAAATCAGGTTCCTCTTTGATTAATGTTTGGAAATTAAGTAAAAAGGTTAAACTTAATTTTTTTACATTATCAACAAAATTATTTATGTTCCAGGAGTATAAAAGTGACTGTAGGCAATATAGCAAAAATAATAGATCACATTATATGCATAGGCATCAACATTCTTCCTAAAATATGCTTTATCTCATTTCTGGCCACTTATTGGAGAACTTTAGGAAAAGGAGCTTAAACATCTGGGATATAAAAGGAGCTTGAAAACCTAGGATATTGATTTCTATAAGTACCAAAATGCTGGCTAAGGTTCAATAATATTGATGTGTCTCCGTGTTGTCTCCCAATTGTGCCTATCTTTAGATGACCCTGAAACATAATATCACCTCGGAGGGGGTGGGTGGCAATTACCATGGGCTTGCCTCAACAAGGATGGGGAACCTGTAGCACCATGGAAAGGTCAAATGCTTTGCCCCAGGTTATCTGAGTCAAGAAGAAAAACACTTGTGAGAGGACTATAGCACGTAAGGTCCCCAGCTTGCACAATATCCCCACCCCCCCTACTCCCAGTCACTGGCCAGGAAAGTTTTTTTGTTTTGTTTTGTTTTAAAATTTTTAGTTTTAATTAGTTATACATGACAGTAGAATGCATTTATGCACTTTGATATATCATCCATAGATGGGATATAATTTCTCATTTTTCTGAATGTACATGTTATAGAATCACATCAATCATGCCAAGAAGTTTTGATGCAGAGAACAAGCTGCCCTTCCAGCAAGCACCACAGTGCTCTGCATTTTCTTGAATTTGAAAAGGTACCACATAGCAAATAAGTTGGAATTTTTAAATATACCAGTAAAATAAATGGCAAAGGCAATTCACCCTCTTTTATCAGTTGCTTATTTTCATGTCTTCATAGAAATGACATTTTTATAAAGCCCACCTGCCTTAACTGAATTTATTTATATACACAGTATGGTAGAGCATGAGGGAGCCTTGGAAGCCCATTGGGCCTGACTCAGCATCTTCCCAGAAAAGCAGGTCAGCTACATTGACTTATGGTCCAGGCCTCCTTTCTCTTCATCACAGTGCTTTCTTTCTTTTTTTTAAAAATTTTGATTTGTTCTTTTTAGTTATACATGACAATGGAATCTATTTTAATATATTTACACAAGCATGAAATATATCTTATTCTAATTAGGATTCCATTCTTGTAGATGTACACAATGTTACTGTGGTATACTCACATATGTACATAAGAAAGTTATGTCATGTCATCAAAGGAAAACCTTCTCATTCTTGTTCTTTCCTTTAAAAAAAAAAGATCATCAAGACACATTTGGACAAAAAAAATAGTATCATCAGGGGTCATGCTTATTAATTAATTAATTTATTGATGTTGGCAATTGAACTCAGGGCTCATGATGTGCTCTACCACTGAGCTACATCCTCAACCCCATAAAATTAATTATTTAAAGCTGGGGATTGAACCCAGAGAGGGCCTTGTGCATGTGAGGCAAGCACTCAACCAACTGAGCTATATTCCCAGCCCCATAAATTTATTTTTGAAAGTTTTTAATGTTCTGAACTTTCCTTCAAGAGCTGTAAGGTCATCCCATGAGTTGGCGCTTCTGGCAATTCATGCTTTGAAAGAGGATTTAACCCCTTACTTTCACTAGGCCCAGAAGGGGAAAAACAACAACAAAAACTAGGAGAGAAACCATCAAGGGCTCTCACCCTGGGGCGCCTCACTCGGCTCCCCTCCCCCACTCCCCAACTCTTCAACAAGGGACAGATTTCTTGAAGTTTCTTAACTGTTTCACAAAGTGATCAGTCACCAAATCAAGTGTGCCAAGCATTGTCATCTCCTAGGGAAAATTCTCTGAGTGGTTTTCAAAGGAAGAATTGCAAAAGGAAGAAGAATCTCTTTGGGGCTATTTCCCTCAGTAAATAAATCCGTCATGGATCTTCCTCTTGGAAAAACACATACACGGGGCCCGTGTCTGCCACGGGGCCGAGCGCTACAACCATTAACAGCTGGTTTTGAAAACAGCCCTTGCCTGTGTCCTTAATGTAAAGGAACCCTCAAACCCAAACGCATTCCCCCTAATTAGCGGAAAGCCTAGCAGTGCATAGCATTGTGGCACACAGGAGTCCAAACGTCCCTACTCCTCTAAACGATCCGAACAATGGCTCGTGCCCAAGCGCACACTAGTTTTCAGCTACGTCTAGGCTGACAGGGGCAGGGTGGTAATTCTTTAGGTCGCCCGACTTCCCAAGGGGCGAGATGTGGATCGTAACGACTCTGCCTATTTGGGAACTCTTTCGGCAGGAGTAGCTTAAAGATTAACTTTCTGAAGTTTCTGGGGGCCAAAAGCATGCGGGTGCATGGCGTGATTGGGAACTCGTGCGGGCCGGTGGCCGCGGCTCTGCTGCTCTTTCAACAGGCGATTTGTTCTCCTGTCCGTGGCTCATTTCCATGCAAAGAGCCTGACATCAGAGCACCTTTTGTTGCTAAACGCTTTCTTTAGCCCGGAGGGGAGAGAGTCATGTGGAGCTGGAAGAGCTCATTCTGAAGAGAGGGGTCCAAAGCGTAGCTTCTAAGGTCCCGAGGCGCCGCCGTCACTCCTGCGGGGCCCTGCCCAGGCTTGCTGGCAGAAACAAGTCGCGTGCCGCAGTTAGCAGGTTCCCGTCACAGGAAGCAACGCCTTTGCCGTGCGTTTAATTTCTTCTGGGCTGAGCGAGTTCCCCGCCGCGGCACTCAGTGGTGCGGACTTTGCTCCTGCTACCCTGTTGCTGAGCCGAGTCGGGTCGGGAAAGTTTCAAGAGTTGTCAGTCGCGCTGCCCGCGGCCACCTAGTGCCGAGGTGCTGACGCCTCTGAGGGCCCCGCGGACTGGCGGGGGGCCGCCTGGGCATGCTGCGCGGGGGCGCGGCTCCGTGACGCCAAGGCCCGGGACCCTACACCTCGGACGGTTGCGCACTGGTGCTGGGCGAGGGCGCAGCGGCCACCGGGACGCACGGCCAGCGCGCGGGACGCGACCATGGAGGAAGACGCGGGAGCGGCTGGCCCTGCGCCGGAGCCCGAGCCCGAGCCCGAGCCGGAGCCCGAACCAGAGCCCCAGCAGGAGCCGGAGCCGGAGCGAGAGCCGGAGCCGGAGCGAGAGCCAGCGCTGGACGCCGGCACATCTGAGGCGTTCTCCCGACTCTGGACCGAGGTGATGGGCATCCTGGTGAGTTACCTGCGGAAGGAGGCGCTGGAAGCAGGGCTCGCTCGCGGCTGAGGGTCTGGATCCCAGTGCTCCCTTCATGCCCACCCACCGGGCACCCCTCTCTTAGCAGCGTCTTCCTTCTCTTGCTCCGGTTCTTAGGGGGTTAAATACACACAGTATAGGATTTCAAACCCTAATTAAAAAATAACCAGCCACCGATCACATCAAAGACACTTTTTGAAAGATCGGGTATAATATTCAACAGTTTAATCTGGAACACCTGCTGAGATGTTGGGAAAGAAAAAACAAGAAAGAGTCCTTTAAAGAGGAGTGAATGTAAATACTACATGTTAAATATTTGGTTGATGGACTTCTCACAGTTGGATCTGGAAGAGGCTGATGGCACTGATGTTTATCTTCTCGCCACTTGTTGTGTGACTGCCAGAAGAAAACAACCATTTCCTTGCTCAGGACCTCCAGAATGTTTACTTGCTCTGTTTGCAGTCTTTCCAATTTGTAGAATCACGGGATATTTGTTTTACATGTTTGGGGGAAAAGCAATAGGGTTTATTTTGCTAAATCTGTGCCATCAAGTATTTTGAAATATCCAGGGTCTAAAACTGCCAATGGATTTGGCATAATTTTGAAAAACAGGTCTCATACATGGAGGATATTTTAAAGCACATGGCTATATGGTAATAATATTAAACCTCTGGAATGGCCAATTATGGGGAATTAGTTAATCACTTTTGGTGGAGCTGTAGTTAGGTCGACTGGAATCAGATGGATGGGGATTATTACAGTAAGACATTTTAATTCACACCTAAAAAGACATCCTTAGTGTAAAAGTCTTGGAATAGCCAGATGTGTAGACCATTGGAGAAGATGCTACATTGACTTTGTGATCTTTTTTCAAATGGGAGATATAGTTTTCAGAATTCTTCTTTGGGAAGAAGTGATTAAGCTCTTAGCTGTTGAAGTAAGTTGGCCTGGGCCAAATCCCTGCTTTCCAACAGATTGTCTGAGTCACCTGGGCCAAGTTATTCAACTCTTCTCAGTCTCAGTTTCATCACCTGAAAAATGAGGAAAAGAAGACTCGTTTCTTGGGTTTTCTGAAATTTAGCTAAGTTAATATGTATCAACTACTAAGCATACTGCCTGATATTAGTAGATGCTCATTGAAGGTTATCTTTATCTATATATTTTTTTCTGCAAATAGAATCTTGAGACTACTATCTTCCAGAAATCCTAAAGTCCAGTTATTCCATTTTCAGATCTCTATTGATATTTATGATTATTACTGTACAGAGAACAGAGAACCAGGAAAGGTTGGTTAAAGATTTCTATCTGGGGTTGGGAATATAACTCAGTGGTAGAGGGCTTGTCTAGCATGCACAGGCCTGGGTTCAATCCCTAGCACTGCTGAAAATAAAATAAAATAAATAAAAATTCTCTCTGTACTTTTCACTCAGTATTTTAGAACACATGGCTATATGGTAAAATATATGTTGATGCTGTATACCTGTATACATATATACTTTTCATATGTGTATACAGTATACATATAATATATATTTTGGATTTAAAAGCTCCTGTTTTTACATTTTCTAAACTTTTCAGAAGAATAAGCTCCTAAACTAAAATTACAAAAAACCCAATGAACATTTTAATGTTGTGGTGGTACATTATTTTTCAAGTTCATCAGCCAAGAAGATTATCTTCTCATTTCTTGCTGAGATTCCTCCTGCTCTGTAAATTTTCAGTCACTGAGAACATTGGTTTGATAACATCACTTTGTATCCTTTGCTAGGGCGTGGGCTGGGGAGCTGGCTTAAATGGAAGTTGGGCTGAGGGTTGTTTGGGGGAGGAGGGTTGGCAGGTGGCACTTTCTGAATATTTGCTTTCCTTCCCTGGCAGATTCCAGCACTGTTGGGTCAGTTGTAGCAGAGTGTTCTTTGGCTGAGTTAAAAGATGGGGTGGGGCCCTAGAAGCTCAAACCTGTTATTCAAAGAGCAGTTGCTGGAGAAAAGAAAATATGTGCTTCTTGCACAGTTAATAGTTCAATGTGAAGCAAGAAATAACATAAAGCTGGGTCTCAAACAGGTTATGTCCACTCATGTTTTCCTATTTATACAATCTTGTTTTCCTTTGGAGTAAATTTGGGCATTGGGATTATTCCTTAGTAAAATGCAGAGAGAGAAGATAAGGCTTATTTTCCTTTGTACATGTCAGTGGGACAACACTGGGATAAAAGGGTGAATCTTCTCCTAAAAAAACTGTCATCCTTGTGTTTATAAAAACTGGAACTTTGGGGCAATGGATGACGACACAAAACGGACAGTTGACTCCATTCTTACTGAAATACAAGACACCATTTCCATAATTTCATGCTTAAAGTATGGGATTCTGTAGTCATCTATCAGCCTAGACAGAACAAGAGACTTGACCAGTGGCACATGTTGTTAGTGACAACATGACACCAGTCAGAAGCCTGATTCCATAAAATGTAACTATGTCCAGAATTTTAGGCAAAATGGTTGGAAAGATTCTTTTTCCATTCTGACCTAGAGGAAGGGAGTAGAGGTGTGTTTGTGTGTGTGTGTGTAGTAGTAGTAGTAGTAGTAGTAGCAGCAGTAGTAGTAGTAGTAGTGAAGAAAATAAGTATGAGAATCAAATCTCATAGCCTCATAGGTAAGAATGTTTTTAGGTGAAAGAGCACAATCCTGTTTTCCACTAGTGCTCAGCAATGAGAGACATTTGGCCTCCAGGGAATTATCTAGTTATAACCCAGAGAAGGGTGTTCCCCCAGTGTCATGGATCTCAGTAAATACTGGATGGTTGTTTGAGTTCATTCAGACACATTTTGCATTTAAATTAATTCAGTCCATGCAGAGTTGAGCACCAAATAGTTGCTTTCAGATAATTGTTAACAAAGTGGTTATTTAGAGAAGAAATAATAGTATAATTTACAGCATGAAAATATTTAAGCAGTGCTAGAATAGATAAATGCTAGCTAATAAGTCAAAATTGTAAGTTGATTTAGAATAAAGAGAAAACGAGCTTAAAGAAATACCAGACTGTGAATACCTGGAGGGCAGAGTCAGTGTCATTTATTTTTCTAACTCTAGTGCTTTTGACTTACCAGGATGCTAAGAGCACGATTTTGTCCATTGAAAAGAAAAAAACAAAAACAAAAAAACACAAACCAGCATGCATTTCTTAAATGTAGAAGTCACATCAGAGTACAGTTCTCTAAGGACTCACCTACTAGGATGGGGCACACTTCTCAAGATGTTAATAAATTCTGTTTGGGTTGATGCTAACATTTGGACACTTTCATCATGCACGCTAAAAATCCTGGGGCTTCTAGTGGTAATGTATATTGCGAAATGTTTACAAGCCTTGAGCAATTAAGCTTTGGGATTCTTGTGAAATGTGCATTCTATTCAACCTTGCAACATGTGGTTTTCTGAAGCATGTCTGTCACCTTTGCCTATGACAGGTTTACATGTCTGCTGAGAAGCACAAAATTAGTTAGAATCCTGTGCAGTTTTTAGTTTTAGATCTTTACTGTGTGGTTGCAGTCACCGCTTTCCTTCCCCCCTCCCCCTTTTTTTGTGGGGGAGGGTAGTTGTCTTTTAAGAGGGGGAATGGCTGAGTTTGACATGGTTAGATATGGGAGATGTTTTTTTCAGGATTGATTATCCATGTGGCAGATTGTGCTGTTCTTTAGCTTCTGTCTCCAGAATTCCAAGACCTCGAAAGCTAAGCCAGGCCTTCCAAGCTACTTGCTAGCTGCAAAGGGGGTTAGTAAGTGCCTATTGTTCTCAGAATCCTGCAAGATGCACCTCCCCCAGACCTGAAATTTCCTCTGTTCCTTGCTCTGCCCCTACAGTTTACAATGATTTCCCAGCAATGCCTGGAAAATATCCATTGACTAGGAATACTGCAAAGCTTCCCCTGCTCTAAGTCCTGTGCAAACTACTGAAAGCTACTGAAAGAAGTAGGCTTCAGTGCACAGAACTGTTATATTTATCCTGTCTTGCTGTTTACTCTGGCCCTAAAAACAACCCAAACCTAAAAACCTAACCAAAACAAAAGAACAAATTAAAAAAAAAAAAAAAGCACCCCTTTCCTTTGTTAGGCAGTGTGGTAGAGGGGAGAGGAGGAGGCTTTGAAAATGTTAACTCCTTTGAAAGCAGTTACTTTACACCTTCTGGTACGGGTGTCTTGAGCCTATTAACTAATGACTCAATTAATTTTCTGTGTTGGAATTTGGGAGCCAGCTTCAGTTTCAAATATTATGTTCCTTTTAGCCAGCCGAAAGCCTTATGGCTTTTATAAGTGTACAATTTGCCAGGTGAAGTAGTGGGAAGGACGTAAGGGCCTGCTCTAGTTCTTCATTTGCCATTTTCTGCCTTCTCTTTTCCTGTGGCTCCTAGTACCCTTCCCTCTTCTGTTGATGTGCTTGTTTTTCATTGTTGACTCCAACTTCTGTTGGTACACTACACGGCAGGAGAGCTGAGGAGGATGGAGTCCAGCACTGTGCTGGGCCCTGTACATGCTACCTTGCTTGAGCCTCTCAGTGGATGTAACCATTGGGTATTATGGTCCCCATTTGACAGTTGATAAATAAGCATCCATATCCTCAATCATAAAAGTAGTACATGGAGAAGCTGAGGTCTGAATCATGTATTATTTCCTTGACGTAAACTTCTAGTTGCAATTTTACTTTTCTACAGTTTTATAATCTATTCACTCACACATCTATTTAGACAGTTATTGGCTGTCATTTTCCTTTGTTGAGGCTGTATTTTTATGTAAGTGATTAAGGTAAGTATTAGTGATGCAGTAGTCCCCCTTCTTTTTTTTGTTTTCACTTTCTGTGGTTTCAGTTACCTGCTGTCAATCTTGGTCTGAAACTATTTAATGGAAAATTCCAGAAATAGTTCATAAGTTTTAAATTGCATGCCTTTCTGAGCACTGTGATGAAATCTCTTGCCATCTTACTCAGTCTCACA